AGGAAGAGCCAAAAAGGGCTGGGCTGCAGGCTATAGGAGCCTCCAGGGCCGACACCCACAGTTGGACTGCTGGGCAGGGCAGAGAGGAGCCTTGGGAGGAGTCTCATCAGGAAGCATCCCAAGCCCCACCCACAGCTCATCTAGGGCCTAAGGGCCCTCATACAGGGCGCAATGTTTAAAAACAGTCAAACACGTCCCTTTGCCCCTCACAACCTAGGCCGTATTTTTGTCCCATTTTATGGATAATGGCCCCCTTCACTGGAAATACTATTGAATCCTGCAAGCCTTCCTGATTTCTTAAGTCCCTGCTTATTCCTAAATAAAACTTCGATTAGAGTAGAATGTGTGAAAATTGCTCAATTGCATGTGCAAAATGATGGTTCACCAACCAATTGTTCAATTAGCAGTTTGAGTACTAGGCAGGCCACTTTGTACCACCCAAGATAGGGTCCCTAGTATAATGGAGACCCTCCTTATCCCCAGGCACTTCATCACAGACAAAGCTGTAAGCCTAGAAAGAGCAGGCAGCACTTCCGGTTGGGAACTACTTCAGCTACCCACAGAAGACAACAGCAGAGGCCCGTTTACTTTCAGGATTCAATACTCCCACAGGTGAAAACCCAAATGCTTTGACAAGTCATCGGGATGCACCTCTAGGACCTCAGAGCTGGGCATCCATCCCTGGGAGGTCACTAAAAGGAATCTGAAACACTGCCAGTTTGAGGTCTGAGGCACCAGAGACCTTCCAGGGGCTTCTAAAGTAGGCCCTGGGGATGTCACACAGCATGCAAGCTCCTGCCCCACAGAGAAAACATGGGTCCCTCCCACTCTAGGCAGGGGCATGGACACCTCAGTTCTGCTGTGGGCACTGAGCTTCAGGCTCAGGCGAGAAGAGCAGGCACTGCCCCAGCCCCACCCTCCGCTCCCGAATGTGTTGGCCTGCCTGAGACATCAGACCAATGCTGAGCACAATGCTAAACATGACTAAGAGGAGCAACTAGGCAAAAGCGTGAGGCACCTCCTCTTCTCCCACAACTGGGTCATACATAAATCTCCCACCTTGCCTGGCCATCTCACCCAACCCCAAAATATAGGCACAGGCCAGGCTCCTCCCCATGCACGGCAGCCCTCCTGGCACAGGCCGCACTCCCAGCCACAGTTCCTCAAAAGCTCAAGACACTGTGATCACATCGAGACTACAGCAAGCAACCCAGGGCAAAGCAACACCCCGCAGCTGCCTGAGCTCAAAGCCATGCCCCCAAAGGCAGGTGCAGGGCAGAGGCCCACAGCACTGCAGGATGAGGGGCAGTCATCCGTCCAAATAACCACAACTGTGTCTGACAACTTCTCCCTTCCCAAGGCCAGGGCTAATCCCAGCAAGGCAACCGTACTCAAGGCAGATTAAATGTCCTCTGCGTTATTTTCATTCACATTTAAAATAACATTGCATTTTTTGAAGTGCAAATTTAAAAACTAGGGAGAAAGTGAGAGATAAAACTTTTCACAAGAAAAACACACATGATCCTAACAGCATTAACGGAGGGGAACAAGACTCCAAGCTGTATCTGGTGGGATCCAGCAACACTGAAGATAAATAGGGAAGTGTCTTCAACCTGTATTTTCTGCTCACAAGTATATATTAATCTATTCTCTGTGAAGCAGGCTCAGTGGAAGTCTGAGATCAAAAACATTTTAATTCAAGTGAAACTGCCCCTTGTTCACTTTTGTTTTGGATTCTTAAAGTGACATTTGGGGAAATTTAGCATCTAGGACAACAGAAAATATGCTGAGAACTTCAGGAGGCCATGAAGGTGCCTTCTGCTTGAGGCCAGCACACGCTCTGGGCTGGACAGTGGACCCCTGCAGGGCCCTGGGGTCTTCTCGGAGCAGAAAGCTCACTGGGATGGCACCACCAGCAGCTGCTGTTGCCCCTTCTGGGAAACAGCACTTTTGACCTGACCAACCTTCTAATGATGCTGTTTCCCAAAGACCATTTTCCTGTAAGCTCACACTACAAAGTTCGCATTGAAACTACATCTGTAGACAACTAACTTGTGGTTTATTCATCAGTGAGTACGCAAGAAGAGAGCAGGGGGTGCCCTTAAGACAAGGAGCCTTGCGAACCTGACAGGAGAGAGAGGAAAGAGACACCCCCTCCCCAGCTTGCCACAAGAGAGGAGCCGACAAAAAGGAGCTCTGGACTGGTTTTCCAGGGTCAAAATAGCAAGCGCATTTCCAAGATGCCTGAGTAATGTGTAAGCCTGGCTGGCTGGCGAGGGCCTGGCCTGCCCACAGATCAGCTGACCACCATCAGCTGAGCACACCTCACTGCCCCCTCAGCTCTGCCAGCTGGACCAGCTCCCTGCTTCCCCATCCATGCCAGGTCCAGTGCTGACCAAAGTGCTCTGGTTGCTCCTGGACCCACCCTCACCTCCAACCCAGGTCAAGGGACAGCAAGCCCAAGCAAACCCCTGTTCTCCTTCTTCCAGAGTAGGTATGCCGAAGGGCTCAGTCGCCACCAGCCTGCCCAGCACCAGCAAGCAACTGCTAGAGGCCCAAGAAGTTTCTGGCATTTTGTCACTGTGCAGACTCCTCACCTGCTATGTCTGCCCAGTGCTGGCCATGCAAAGCAGCATGCCAAATGGTCCAGCCATCTCAAGCACAAGCAACCCCAGCAAAGTGGCCAGCCAGTCCTCTGCCCCTATTCCGCTTACTCACACACACCATCACCCATGTCATCATCTGCATATTCCTGACCCCAACCAGTGAAGGACTAGTGGCCCAGATCGGAGGGGATGGAGGTCTAGGTAGCACCAGGGAGAGTCCCCTCCACAGCCAGGGACAGCCCAAGCTCCAGTCATGTCCAGACTGACTCTGGGATGGGCATGGTGCAAGTCAGCTGCCTGCAGTGTCCAGCACACACACCCATGCTTGCAACCCCTCTGCCACCCCCCTCTGACTCAGGACTTGCCAGTAAAGGCTGCCCAACCCCAACACACAGCAAGTTTGCACCCCCAAGAGTAGAGGGGTCTCTTCAGAGTGGGTTCTCCCAGCTCAGCACCAGGGGCATTTAGGACAAGGGGTCAGACCATTAGCTCTAAACATTCAAGGCTTCCTCCAAACACACGAGCCACACTGTGAGCTGCACTCTAGACAGCAGCTCCTGTCTGAGGGCAGTGCCCTGACCACATCTGCGCTCCATGGTCCATGAGGCACAGGGAAGATCATTTAGGATGTAAAAGCCTTTATGTCCAACTCTTGGAGGCTCCTGTTCAACCATCTGGGTTGGCAGACATCCCTGTGAGATCTAGCACTCTGCAGGTGAAACCCTGCAGGGCCTCAGTCTCCAGTCCATGGGACAGAAGATTCATGAAGCTGCCTCCTTCCCTTGGAAAACAAAACAAACTGCCTCTGAGCACTGACCCAACCTCTGCACCAGGAGCACACCCAGGGGACCAAGCAGGTCCTGCCTCTGTTGGCAGCAACGTCCCAGCCAGACACCACAAGTCTTCAATCCCTGCTCTCCACTCTTTTGTTTACCATTAATTAATGGAGCCATATGGAAGGAGGTGATAATCACAGTCAAGGACCAGTGGGAGGGGAGTCCTGGTGGCCTGGAGCCTGGGGCTGAGAGAAGCCTCTCCCCACCAGCCCCAGCCCATGTGAGGGCCCACCACCCCTGGCTCCTGGCACCTCCAAGTAGCAGAGTGCACCCCTGGGTAAGAGCTCAGTGCTCCCCTCACTTGCTTCAGGTTTGCCCCTGCACCTTCCTGCCTTTTATTCACTAGGCCACTCGTCTCGGAGATATCCTTGGTTTTCTCTACTTTTTTTTTAACTATTGGGGCAAAATTTCTCACCCCCTCTCCCAAAAGGATAATTAAAATCATTACTGTCATTATTATCATTATGGTGACACAGTCTGATGTCCCAGGACCAAGCCACATGTAGCCACTGACCTACCTCTCAGATGTTTTGTTTCAGAAATTAAACATCAACTTTTTTTTTGGTACCGGGGATCGAACTCAGGACCTTGCACTTGTGAGGCAGGCAGCAAAACTACTGAGCTAAATCCCTGGCCCTAAACATCAACTCTGACAGCCAGTGACGTCCACTGACCCAAGGTGATGCTGACAAGACAAGCCTTGGTGACTCAGAAGGAGCCAGCAATGAGCACCCCACCCCACACACAAAACCACCAAGTGCTTGTTTATTTCTCTGCTCTACAAAGAAGAATGAGAATTTGATGGACATAATCCAGTCCATAGCCCCAGAATATGCTATCTGGCTGGAAATGGGATTATGGTGTTCAAAGTTCAAATTGACTTCCTAGTCTTAAATATGCAAATTCAGTCACACTGACATGACAGCCACACTCCCCAGTGCCCCAACCATGCCATGAGAAAGGAGCTAAGAATGGGTGATGCTCAGTTCTGCACATCAATCCCACGGGCAAACACACCCTGGATATCACTCCTGAAGTTTGGAAGTACGTGACTTGCAAAGACAAAGTGCTCCTGGGAGTATTTTACTCAGTACCTCCGGTGGGGGTCCCACATGAGATCTGAGCTCCAAGTCACTGCTTCAGAGAGATCTTCTGCTTAAGGGGCCAGCATCCTCCCCAGGAGCAGAGCTGCTGAGTCCCATGGCCCAGACATATCTGCGTTCCTCTTCCAGAATTGCACATAAAGTTTCCTGTCTTTATCCACAGCGGCCCCCTCCACATCCTTTCTATCTGACGCACAACATGTCCACGACAATCACAGAGATGCAGGAGGGACAGAGAAAGAGGAGGAACACAGAGACCAGGCAGACTGAGAGGAGAAGAAAGCCTCATCCTTCAGAACAGTTTAAAAAGCCATCCCCTGACCTGCTTTTCCTGCAGAGAGAGCCTCCTTCTTAGAAACCAACTCTGCTCTCACCCTCCCCCATCTCTGTCCAAGGGGAAAAGCCTAGCACTGGGTGTCTGCCTTTGTCAGCGAAAGAACATAACATTGACTTACCTTTCCTCACAGCTATTGTCTGTCCTCTTTCAAAATGACATCACGGAAAGCAATCATGAAATTTACATGGGGGGTGCCGGGTGGACTGGGGGAGGGGAAGGCAGCTGCCTCCCTCGCAGCGGTCACATGTGGGGAAGCTTGTGTGCGCGTTTCAATTAAATATCTTCTCCCCTCCGTGTGCGAACTCCTAAGCCAGCTAAAGGCGATGTCTCATTTACTTAATGACCGCTCTCATTAGCAGCGGTGGCACGGGCTGGCGGAGGAGCCTCCTTTGTAAATACGCTACCCATGAACCCTTGGGGCTCCAATATATCTGTTTACTCTCTGAGGTGAAATAAATTTACAGTATAGCATCAGAAAGATGGATCTGCCAAACTGGGGGTGAGAGGTGTTCCAACCCAGCAGAGTCCCTTTGCACTGCTCCAAGCCACACCAATAGAAAGTGCCTACATCTGCCTACACTGATCTGTAATCAATATGCAGCATGATTGGGTTTTTTTTAATTGCAAAACACACCAAAGAGCAGAGAGCATTACAACCATCAAGCTCATCCCCCTCTGCTTTCTCTGCCAGTGGTTCAGTCCAATAATTCCTAATAGCAACGACCGGAATGACAGATGCCCTGGGTTAGCATGGCTCCAGCGAAAGTGCTTTACAATATTTATTGGTGGTTAGGAATATGACCTCCAATCATAAAAAATGGGCTGAAAAATTTATTACTCAAATGAACCAGGAGTATTACATATGGGTTCATCTACATATTCAAGTACCAAGAATTTGAATTGACATTTTTTGAGTGCATAAAAGGTATGAAAGGCCACAGACCAAAAATGTAAAGTCATACACACAAAGAATAGATCAGAAAATGATAATTTTTCTGTTTTCATACTTTCATTTTTTGTTTAAATTTTTAAAATAATAAATCCCTCCTAAAGAGAACTTGAAAATCCTGGGAAATTCTACCCCTAAAAATGATAAATTCATCCCAACCAGAGAGAAGCACACTGCTCAAGTTTTGTGTCCTGTCTTTGAGTCTCCGCTAAACCATCTGCAATGAGCTAGCTATCCAGCGAACACCGAGAAGAGAAACCATAGTAACACACGTCCCACTAGTGCTCACCAGTCTGTATGTGACTTTGCCTGTCTACTTCCTCATCTGCCCCTTTGTGGGGGGTTTTCCACATCAGGGAAGAAAGCAGGAAATTCCTCAGTAAGTGTTACAAGTAAGCATTGCCTACCATCTTTCTATGTGCTTGTTTGCTCCCCAAATTCCTTCTGCTACTGACAAATCAAAATCAAGATGTTGGAAACATGAGGATGAAAACTGAATTCAGACCCCTGCAAAGACACCTCACTACTGCCAGCTGGAAGGCCAACAGCACTCATAGCTCAGAAGTTCATATGGAGATTCCAACAGACAGCAAATACCTTCTTTTGGTAAATCGTGCAGGAACATGACACCCTACCTGATTAACAAGAAAGGATCTGGGCTGCAAAAAGTGTGAATGAGAAGAGTTAGAGCATTTAGCTTTCTCCAAAGAGAGTAGGTTGTGAAAATCTTGGCTGATGTTAGCTGAAACCCCTCTTCTACAAAGCAATTATTTTTAATACGCAGTTTGTGTTCTACATATTACACACAAACCAAGTCACTCACCCCAAAAGCAAGTATGTTAGATTCAAACACAAAATGCATGCCGGAAAATTGTCCAGATGGAGGAAAGGGAAATAAATGAAGCCTACAGTGGTCAAACTGAAGATGAAATATTAAATAGCCAAATGAGAACAGTTTGAGGCATCTACAATGACTGCCTACCATTTTTCTATTCTTTCACAAACTCATATCCATTAGCATAAAAGGACACGTTCAGCTGAGAGCAATCCTGAAAAGCCATGTCTATCTCCTCTGGACATGCTGTGAGTGCTGGATATTTTACATCCCAACCCTATGGCATTCAGAAATTCTATTAAACTCTTATCACCAGGCTGCAGGCTCAGGGCAGTCCTATGTGCCATTGTTCCACAGTGAGGGGGGATCAAAGGGAGGGCTGGTGCTGAATCCGCCTTACTCCCAGGCATCGTGCAATGTTCCAGGAGAGCCATTAACTTCGGATATGTAATAGTCAAACTTAAAAAACAACGCAAAACACAGGCAGCAATGGGGAGAAACCAATATGTGCAACAAAAGGACCTGATGGGGTATCACTACTTTTTCAAGTAACGGAAATTGTATTTGCACAAACCTCAGTCTGTCAGCATTTCATATCCCCCTTGCAGTGACCACGAGCTTCCAGAAGGGTAGGTCTGGTGGTCAGGAATGGGGGTCCAAACTCCACCTGGGGGACTGCTGGAGGAGCACTTAGAATGTGCTCGGAAACTTCAAATCAATGCCCGTTGGCAGAATCTAGAGCCAGGAGCCCCACTGGGAGGTTAGGGTTGTAGAAGCATTTTCAGGAGATGAGTTTTGATGAGTAAAGGTTCAAAATCTTTAACGGACACTGCCAAAAGAACAAAAGGGGGTCCTGGAAAGAAGCAGGGAGGAGTTTGCCGCCAAGTTTCTCAGGTGTGCTGGCTTCCTGCAGCCCCCAGGGAGCCTGAGCTGAGGGTGGAGGCGCCAGGCAGCCTGATCAGCACTTTGGACAGCGGCCCCGCCCCGCCCCGCCAGGCTGGGCCTTTGTTCTTCCGCTCACAGAAGCCTCAGCTCGCGCGCACCGGGTCTGCAGTCGCTGAACTCCGGCTGGGAGAGGCAATTCCTAACCCAAGCCTCCCAACCAAACATCCCCTGCTTGTGACAACAGCGAGGTATAACCTAAAACTTCTTCTTCTGCGGGGTTAAAACTGTTGGGACTTTTTTAAATCATAAAATATTTTCCTTAATCAAGCATGGAGCACACTGCTCCTTTGATTTTTGTTGATAAAAATCAAAGGGGAATTTGCATGTGTCTCTTTAGTTTGGGACGATCCACTGGGAACAACTGCTGTCTGACTGGCAGAAGGAAAGGGGGGGAAACTGCAGAACCAACACTCGAGCTGTGGCCTCACTCACTAAGAAAGTGCTTTGTGAGGAGCTTGGGAGAAGCAGGCTTAATGATCGCCTCGCTGGTAAGATCGTTTCAAATAAGGTGTAATTACGTGTGCAAATCTGCACACAGACATTCCAAGTGTCAGTTCATTTGCTTCATAAAAACTCTTTCAAGTAATTTTGGTCTAAACTTTCTGCATCTGTAATTGGCACCACCTTCTCCGGTGGCCAGCTGGGGGCGAGGCTTTCTTGTTTCCCTCTGAAAGCTCCCCGCAGATGGGCGCCTGCCTTAATGCCGCCGGCGACAATTAGGGCGTTGTGTTCGGAGCGAGATGGTCAGCATTAATATTGTATAGAACAGCTGAGGGCTGGGGTGCTGCCCCAGGCAGGCCCTGGCAGATGGAGCAAACAAAACCAGGAGCCACTTTGCCCACACTCTGGACTGACTTTGTGTGCCTGTCTCACACTCAGAGACATTTGGCATCCAGCTTGTAAGACTCACACGTGCACATACACACTCACACATGGCAACTGCGAGGATGATGAGGATGTGGCAAGAGCAGTAGCCGGCCAAAGCCCCTCCGCTAAAGAAGTCCCGGGTGGCCACTGCCGCCGCACACAGAGGCGCTCACACACCCTCCACACCTCCTCAGGGCCCCGGGCTGGCCGGAGCTGCTGACACCTGCAGCCCACCAGGCCCGCCTGCCAGAAAACCTAAGGACGAGTAAATCAACGGGAGGGACCCACCGCCCTGCCCTCCCTACTCCCAGCCTTCTGCAGGGCCATCAGCTTTCCCAGGGCTCTGAGCAGCAGCCCTTAAGGAGGAGCGAAGTTGGTTCCCAGGGCCTGGGCTGGCCTTCAGCAGGGAGTGTATGTCTGTCACTTCCTCGCTGCCCAGAAAAGACAGCTGGGTACTGACAGGGCATCCGGGCAGAAACACGTGAGCAGCCCAGGGAGGGGTGTGAGGGGCGGGCTGGGGTGGTACGCACCCAGGAAGCTCCCACAGCGTGTCATCCTGGCTTGATAGGCAAACCTCCTCTCGAAGACCTGGACACAAGTCACTGTGTGCTGGAAAGTTGCTGTACAAACTTCTGTATTCCTGGACCCTGGGAGCCCCTACCACAAGCCAGCCAATCAAGACCAGGAGCAAATAATCACAAATTGATGCCCAGCAGCCTACCAATGAGGCTCCCTTCCTACACAATGGGCCTCAGGCCCAGACAATGGGGCCCGCCTGCAGGCTCCTGGAAGGGGAGTGTGGAGTGCCCCTCCCCACACTAACAATGAGGGAGGGCAGTGTGGGGGTTGGGCTGTCACACTAGGTCAGGCCTGAAGCCTGGTGGGGACCAGTCACCTTGGACTGCATGCCCTGGCCACCCCCCAACCCTGAACAGTGCTCCCACCCAGTCCCTAGAAGAAGCTGCGAGGGAGGGGAGGAGATGAAGTGACCAGACACCCCTGGGAGGTAATGCTGCTTCCTAGACACCTCAGAAGGCCCTGCAGGCAGAGGGTGGGCTGTGAAAGAGAAGGCCAAAGGGGGCAGAACCCTGGGGACCTAGGCCTCTAGCAGCTCCCTCCACATAGGGTGGGGAACAGCCTGGAAGGTGAGAAGGCCTCCTCTGGAACGAGTTTTCCGCTCACCCCAAGTCCAGGATCCTTTGGAACAATAACCATGGCCATGCTGGGCATTTTCCCAGGCTCCCCAGTGCTAGCAGAGGCGACTGCCCTCACAGATGGCAGCTGGGGTGACACTGCACCTCTCTCAGCCTGTGGCTGAGTCCAAGATGGCTGCCTCCATCCCAGGCAACATCTGCCATCAGGGAGGTGGTCACAGGGGGAGTTCAGAGCTCTGTAGGAGGTAGGTGTGGACAAAACCTTGAACAGCCCCTCAGAACTGTGCCCTAGAAGGCCTTCAGTGAGGAGGAACCCCAGGAGCCTCTGGGGTGATGGTCCTGCCAAAGGTAAGGGATGTACTGGCAGAACAAGCTGCTGGGGTCTAGGTGTGGTGGGGCCTGGAAAGGACCACGTGGGACCCCAGGGTCATCTGAGGCCTAGGTGCCTCGGAGAGGACAGGACGGGAATGGACGGCTATCCAGATGTCTGTGTGCCTGTTAGTCACTGATGGATGATGTCAAACAAGTGGGGCCAAGAGGTGGGACTAGAAATGAATATGGGTCATCTCACCTACAGAAGAATATGGTGGGGTGCAGTGCTAAGGCCAGTGATAGGACAGGAGGGAAAGTGGGGCAGGAGGGGAGGGAAGTGGGCCAGGAAAGGAAGTGGATCAGGAGGGGAAGTGGGGCAGGAGGAGAAGTAGCAGCAGGAGGGTAAGTAGGGAGTC